AAGTGAGTAGCCTAATAGTGAAGCTTGTTGGTTTAATTGCAAAAACAAGTTATCACCTCATTGCTGAGAAATATAATGTAGGTTTTAGTAGCGATGTGTCATGTCATGATTATGAAGGTGTCATGTCAGTCTTATGCACACCCCTTCAAGTAAAGTGTAACCGCAAAGCTTTTGTATTTATAAAATTCATGGGGCAGGGGTTGAAAACTGGCTCCTGAACGTTTTCTTTCACTTTAAAGTTCCTGCCTCAAAATGCAACTGCATATACACTTACACGGGCATTAAAACACTGTATTTAAGGGTGAACGTGTCGCCCTTGCATTGTGGTGAGGGAAATCAGATATGTTTAGATGTAGGTCAGATGTCCCGATATCGGATATGTATCCGATTAAAATCCACATTTGGAAGTGGCCCAGATCGGATGCTAAAAAAATCAGATCTTGATTTTTGTGTTTGCACGTATGTAGGTTTGGGTACCGTTCACATTTTAACCGCTACGGTACCGGTATCGGTACCTGAATTTCGGTGCCGGTACCCAACGGTACCTTTTTTCGGTACTTTACTCTCTGTGTAATTACAAAAACATTTATTTCAGTGAAAAAATAAATCCAAAAGTCTAAATTTCAACATTTTGAACAATAGGGCCCTACAAACTTTTCCTTCTCTCGTTTTTAATAGGCTAATAATTGTATTATTTTTTTCTACAATTAAGTGATTAATCTGGTTGTAATATTTATTTTTTATCATTTAATTGTTTTATTTAAATTTGATAGAAAATGGAACATTTAAAGATGTACATTATACTGTACAAATGTAATACAAGAGTAATATATTTCTGTTACATGTTAAACCATACTTTTATTTTGACAGGTTGCCATGAAGTTTCTGTGTGTATACAGTATGATGATGCTAGTTTTCTCAAATTAAACGGTAAAATTTTTGCGAAGTGACTCTCACAGCAGCTCTGGAGATTACGTTTTTGTGTTCATGCCGTCATATAGTGAGACGCAGAGGCCGGAAATCACCGTGAGCGTCATGCGTGCTTCAGTATTTGTGTAGTAAACAAAACCGCATTTCTGCCATTCATACATACAGAGGCAAGCGGAACATGCAGGATTTATATTTAAACTGTCTTTTTGCATTTTAATATTCACAGACACTAGTTCATATCGCGATTCGAATTAAGTGGCAGTGGCTACTTTTGATTTATTCGTCCAAAATTGACGAATTCCGTGGCATTCCGCGCTACAGAGTAAATTAAGTTTTTATGAATGGACTCTGCGATCCCGTCCGCGTTTTTGCAGAAACCATATGGGCCTAGAAATGTAACCACACTTCAGAACATTTCGGCTTGCCCTGTGTGTTGTTTGAACGAGTTGCAGGGGTGACCTCACGTCACAGGGTCTCTCTCTTTCTCTCTCTGTAGAGTATGTGCCCAGATGCGTTCTTAGGTACCGAAATTTGGCACAGATTGATTTAACGTGAATCGGTACTCGGTAGTACCGATGCAATTCGGTCGGTACCCTTAAAAGTAAAAGTACCCAACCCTACACGTATGCAACAAATTGCATGTGATAATGTATAACAAATAACAAATATAACAAATGATGTGAGCAAAAAATCTGATTTTTTTTGTGCCAGTGTAAACACAGTCATAGTTGCACCTGGTTGTTGGTGCAACAGGTGTAAATATTTATTGATAGGTTGCACATAGCAAAGCCCAGCATGGGAATTACACCCAACTTTTTCATGACTAGCTGATGCAACCGGCCCCAGTACTCCAAAGGTTTTCAAGACCAAGAAAGGTGGACAAGGACTTCCATCTTCAAAAAATTATACAGCTCATGGTTCTTAAACATAATTTAAACATACATTTGTACCGTCTTTTCTATTCATTATTTCAAATTGTTTAAATAGTTTGTTTTTGTCTAACTTGAGAATCAGAGAAGATGAGAATTGTCATGTAATGTTTAAATGTTAATGTAATGTTTTATATTGTACGAAGTAGGGATGTTCATTTCGGTTAATTTTCCCGACCGACAACCGTTAATAGTTATCCGAAAATTAACCGTTAACTGATAAGATTCGAGAATTAAGTAAAAATAGAATGGATGTGTGTCTGTGACCCATTAAAAATACAACATAACCTGGATTCACACATCGTCAAATTATCACGCACCTGCAGCGCTTCTGAGAACAGAATAAAATAACAAATAAAAAGAATAAAATTAATAAGCCTACACTAAATATTTTTCAATTAAATAATTAACATTAAGATGACAAAACGAAAACACACTGAATCCTTCAATGCACCTTAAAGAACTCTTTAAAAAGAGTACAATAAATAGCAGGCCTACCTCAGTGCACAATGTGTCTATTTTTATTTTATTTGTTTAAATATGTGGATAGTCTGGAGAAGAGCTCTGCGCGTGAACTCTTTCGTAATGCCACTCCCGCAATGTGTTTTTTTGGCCAACGATTTCTGTGGCCGCTCCCACAAACATTCTTATATTGTTTATAATTTTCGCGCTATCAATATGCGGATATTGAAATCGCTTTTGAATGCACGCTCACTGTTCACTTTTGATTTTGCGTTCACGCGCACTCGGTGTAAAGGAGCACATCTAATCTTACAAGATCAGATATTTGTCAGTGAGTTCAGGATCTGCTGAGGATCATACTCCAGGATCATACTCCAGCATGATCTGTCAGTCATCTATCCTACTCTCGACCCGTGATCAGTCAAGCTCGTGTTGGATGCAGGGTTGCAAAGTGCGCGTTTTTTCCCATGGAATCGGGCTACTTTTATTAAACTGATGCCCTGGGTTGATTTCTCCCTGTAGCATACTTTTCTTTCATCATGCAGCAAACTTACTTGAAATACTTAAGGGGGAAATTAAAACGTTTTCGTTCAAACTGATAGTATTAATCAGTAATTTTTTTTTGTACTTTCGTTTAACGGTTAATATGAACATCCCTGGTACGGAGCAGTTTCAGTGAGGTTCACAATACCTTTACAGTATTCATTTGGGAAAAAATATACAATCCTTCAAAAGAATCTCTGACATTTTAGAAAGAATTTAATAGTTGAAAATTACTAGCCCTCCCATGTTATATATCTCACTCTGCCAACTTGTAGAGAGTTGTGCAGGTTGTTTCAGGCTGTGTAGAAATGTAAAAATATCATTATCAGAACAGTGAAAACAAATGAAAATGTCCCTTAAGGGAAGTGTATACAAGGAGAAAAGCAGAGGACCTAATACTGAGCCCTGTGGCACACAATACTTGTGTTTGATGAAACATCCTCATTCACACAAATAAAGTGTTAGCAGTCGGATAGATGAGACCTAAACCATGCTAATGCTTGTCCATTAATACCAACATAATTCACAAGCTATCCAAGAGAATGTTGTAGTCTATGTTATCAAAAGAACAAATGACACTAGAAGAAAGATGTCACTGTAATAATGAAGGTTTCTGTGCTATTTTAGGGCTGAAATACTGACAATTCAGCAAAACTGAACATAGTTGAGGGCACTATTTTTCAAATATTTTAGACATGATTGGCACATTTGGGGTTGGTCTATAATAAACTAATTATCCTGGTAAAGTGATAAGGGGTTTGATAACTGTCAGTTTTGTTGGACTGAAGGTTTTTTGGATGTGTTCTAAAGAAAGCAAACATTTATACTGAGTATTGTAAAGAGATTCTGAGATCATATTTAACTCCTGTTTCAGTAGCTTAGTGGGTATAGGATCTAGCATACATGATGTTGGCTTTGATGCTTTAAAATGATAGTTCATGCAAAAATGAAAAATTTCTGTGAACATTTACTCACCCTCTACTTGTTCCAAGCCTGTATGGAAATCAAAATACTTAAGTCAATAGCTACCATCAATTGTTAAGTTACCAGCATTCTTCAAAATATCTTGTTTAGTGTTCAGTAGAAAAAACTTGAGGGTGAGTAAATGTTTAGGTGAACTATCCCTTCAATGCTTTCAGGTTGGTTTTGATGCAAGTTGCTTAGTACCATTAAACTTGTGTTAACTTGTATTCGTCTTTTTTTCACTTTAGACCAGATGGTGCTGAAAGTGGAGAGTCAAGAACTGAATGAAACGGAAGAGAAAGCTCAGTATGAGAAACACTATGATTTCATGACTGGAGAGAAATCCACTCAGAATGAAAAGACTTCCTCACAAAAAAGAGCTCAGAAAACCATGTCGAACAGTTCTTTTACTTGCCATCAATGTGGTAAGAGTTTCACTCAAAAACAAAGCCTTACCATCCACATGAGAATTCACACTGGAGAAAAGCCTTTCACCTGCCAACAGTGTGGACTGAGTTTTACACATAAAGAAAACCTTAATTCCCACATAAGAGTTCACACTGGAGAGAAGCCTTACAAATGCCAACACTGTGGACAGAGTTTTGCACATAAAGGAAACTGTAATGCCCACATGAGAATTCACACTGGAGAGAAACCTTTTACCTGCACACTGTGTGGGAAGAGCTACTCACGAAAAGAATGTCTTAAGACTCACATGCGAATTCACATTGGAGAGAAGCCATTTGTATGTGGTCAGTGTGGAAAGTGTTTCAGATGTAAAGTAAACCTTAATCAGCACATGAGGATTCACACAAGAGAGAACTGTTTTATGTGTCATGAGTGTAGGAGGAGTTTCACAGATGGGAATGACCTGAAGAATCACATAATAACTCACATCAGAGAGACACCTTTCATGTGCCATCACTGTGGAAAGGCTTGCACAAGCAAATCAATCCTTGAGATTCACATTAGAACTCACACTGGAGAGAGGCCTTTCACATGTCCACAGTGTGGAAAAGGTTTCACACATAAAGGAAACCTTAACATCCACATGAGAATTCACACTGGAGAGAAGCCTTACACGTGTCTAAAGTGTGAAAAGAGTTTCACATATCTAAGAGACCTCAAATGTCATTTGCAAACTCATTCTGGAAAGCAACCGTAGTGTTCATCAGTGTGGCAAGAGATTTACAAAATACAGCCGTTTCAGAAATCACCTGCACTCTGGAGGAAGACCATTTCAATTTAATCAGTGTGATAAAAAAAATTTGCACGCCATTATCACTTACAGGTACACCTGAAAAGTCATACAGATGTGAGACCCTTGAATTTACTACATTTTTGACGCCGTTCGAATACTGTAAGTGAAGTGACGTGGGCAAGATTGGTGACCCATACTCAGAATTTGTGCTCTGCATTGAACCAATCCAAGTGCACACACCGTAGTGAACACAGTGGGCAGCCATATTGCTGTGGTACCTGGGGAGCAGTTGGGGGATTTGGTGCATTGCTCAAGGGTCTCACCTCAGTCGTGGTATTGAGGGTGGAAGAAAGCGCTGGTCATTCACTCCCCCCACCTACAATTCCTGCCGGACCTGAGACTCGAAACAGTAACAGTGGAAGGAAAAAGCACATCATTACATGTCAGAAATCTTATTGACTTCAGTCCATTTTCAGACATCACAGGTTCACCTGAGGACAGGCTGTGTTTGTCTTCTCCACTTTAGTGCTGTTCTCTGGGCTGATGGAGGAAAACACCTTGGGAAAGAATAAAACAGGTTTTGATGAGTAATAGATGTTGAAGCAATGATAGCTCCCTAGATCAAAGCGCACACAACAATGCTGGGAGTAAAATGAACTTGGTCAATCTGTGCTTCCCTATTTTTAATCAAGGCCATTGCGAATACACATAATAGGAGGTGCAGGTTGGCCTACTAGAGGAAAAGTCTTGGGGTCCTGAGAAAAGAATTGAGTCTTCAAGTGTGTAAGAGATTCTTCTTGTTTGTGCTCCGTAATATTGTTTCTTTTGTTCTTTAATAAATACAAGTCTGATTCACACTACACTTGTCTACAAATTTTAGTGTGCAACATGTCCTCTGCATAACAGAACATTGCCACTCACCCACTTACTCTGGATCTGGATGCATGAACCGTTGCAGTTTATTCAGTGATTGCTTGGTAATGCATATACATGTTTTAATATATGTCGACCTTTTCTTATCATACTTTTAAAAAAGAAAACCGCTTTTTCCTCTCAGTATTGACCGATTGAGTAAGATACTGTTTTATTGTTATTGTGAGGTAAAATAAAATAAATATATTAACAATATTAACATGTATTAACAATTTTAATAATACATTCTATACATTTATAATACGAAATTGTGTGTAAGCAATGCTTTCAGCCCTAATTAGAAGGCCACGCGTGCACCAAATACCTCTGAAGAGACGTGTACCTGAAGTACAGTAACTTTCTGCAGAGCAGGTTTGTAAACTGAATAAATGGATAACCAACTTTCTGAGTAAACTTACCCTTAAAGGGGTCATATGATGCTGCTAAAAAGTACACATTATTTTGTGTATTTGGTGTAATGAAATGTGTTTATGCGGTTTAAGGTTCAAAACACATTATTTTCCACATACTGTACATTATTGTTTCTCCTCTATGCCCCGCCTTTCTGAAACGCGTCGATTTTTACAAAGCTCATCGGTCTGAAAAAGCGAGGTGTGCTCTGATTGGCCAGCTATCCAGTGCATTGTGATTGGCCGAATATCTCAAGCATGTGACGGAAATGTTACGCCCCTCACCATACTGTGATGCCGTGTCCCGGCACGACCAGACAACCAATAAAAACCCATTACAAATGAGGCATTTGTTGCATCCAGTGGG